GACAGCTGGCTGAACATGAGCTGGCAGTGTGCCCAGGCGGCCAAGAAGGCCAATGGCATCCTGGCCTGTATCAGAAATAGTGTGGCCAGCAGGAGTAGGGAAGTGATCGTGCCCCTGTACTCGGCACTGGTGAGGCCGCACCTCGAATACTGTGTTCAGTTTTGGGCCCCTCACTACAAGAAGGACGTTGAGGTGCTGGAGCGTGTCCAGAGAAGGGCAACGAGGCTGGTGAGGGGTCTGGAGAACAAGTCTTATGAGAAGCGGCTGAGGGAACTGGGGTTGTTTACTCCTGTAGAGACTGTACAGCTACAACTACCTGAAAGGAGGTTGTAGCGAGGTGGGTGTCGGTCTCTTCTCCCAAGTAACAAGCGATAGGACGAGAGGAAATGGCCTCAAGTTGCGCCAGGGGAGGTTTAGATTGGACATGAGGAAAAATGTCTTTACTGAAAGAGTGGTTAAACATTGGAACAGGCTGCCCAGGGAAGTGGTTGAGTCCCCATCCCTGGAAGTATTTAAAAGACGTGTAGATGAGGCGCTTAGGAACATGGTTTAATGGGCATGGTGGTGTTGGGTTGAGAGTTGGACTCGATGATCTTAGAGGTCTTTTCCAACTTTAATGATTCTATGATTCTATGACAGTCGGGTGCAGTGGCTCGCTGCACGCTGCCTTCTCCGCATCAGGGAAGATGCTCCTCTTCTGCCCCGGATCCACCGGCAGGAAAGTGCTGGATTCAGTCCAGGACTTCAGCAAAGTCCTGATCCTTCTCTCCAGACATTGATGGGAGCTTGCTATTACCTTAAATGAAAAAGCAGCCCCACTCCTGTGCTTGCACTGTTAATTAAAACGCTTTGCTTTAAACCCGGTGCTCCATTCCTACAGCTCAGCACTGCTACGACACCACATCCAACACTTGGAAGCCAAAAACACAAGCTAGATGATCTCCAGATAGTACCGAAACAACTTTTTTACAGCCGTCCTTGTATAGGATAATTACAGGCATAACTTACAGGGCTATAAACAGGGATAACTTTTTATCTGCTTTCAAGAAAACTAAGTTCAGTGACCTGTCTCACTGCGGTGGAACCAGGAGAAAACCCTCCCTCCTTCACTGAGTTTTATGGAAGGGAAAAATTGAGGCTGAGCACCGATGGTGTCCGTCAGGTCACCGCGTCACTGAGGGTGGAGGTAACCAGAATCAATCCATCTGAAAACGGCAAATTTTGGTAAAGCTCTGGGTGCCCAGAGCTCTGTCAGCATCTTTTTAGGAAGATTAAAGAAATGAAGCTAATGGGACTGGCTGGCTGTCCGCCCGCCCCCAGCAATTCCTCCTGGCTCCTTCGGCAGGCATCAGCTGAAGGATGGATGGAGGACAAGCTGCGCAGTACATGTCCTTGGCCTCATTTTAAAACAACTAATTGCCCAGGAGCTAGGTTAAAATGAGAGAGAGAGTTTTTTCTTGCAGGACGCATGCAAGCTGATGCATACAGCCTCCCAATACCGCTGCTCCCGAAAACACCAACCGCGGATGTGCAGGGAGCGACGTGCCGGCAGCCCGTCCGTCTGTGCCGACATTTCGGGTTGAGTAGCCATAGAAACACCGACAACAAGAGGTCGAAATGGCCCGAATTAAAAAATATAAAAAGCTTTTGATCCCACCGTGCCTGATGTCACCGTCTCACCCAGGGGGTTCAGCATCTTCCAGGAACGTCAGGCTGGACCACATCATGAACACAAGAGTAAGCAAGAACAGGAAAAGGGCACCAAACCCAAACCACTGCCCAGTTTTTATGCCTCATAAATAAAAAGCCTCGTAAATACCTCATAAATAAAATAAATAAATAAAATAATAGTGATTTCCTTTGGTTTCATCACCCGAGAAGCCGACACCAATGTGAGATGCTGCCAAAAGAGCTGGTCCCGTCCTCCCCTTACTCCAGCCCTTCTCCCCATCTGCTTTCGGCTCAGCGCTGGCGGGTTTTGGCTGGGGCAATCGCCTTTCAGATGGGCTCGTTTCTGGCACGGTGGAAAGGGGAGGTGAAAAAGCCCTTCTGGGTACCCAGCATCATCCCTTCATCTCCCTCTCATTTATTTCTTCCTTAGCTCTCTCTATTAAGTTTCCCACCAAGGACATTTTTTTTCCCTCCATCTTCCCTCTGTTTTTCAGCCACTTCATTTATTGCCAA